ACATACATTAGAACATATAAAAGATGCACCACAATGTGTTCTGTCACATAGGGTTCACTCCGGTTAACGCTGGGGGCTACGACAAGCAGAGTACATCCCATGTGGTTTGTAACACTCTGCAATCGGGGAGCTTATCAAATCATACATATACTGCAGGCTGTTGCTGCAGACTATTATATTAACTAATGCACAAAAAAGCATTAAAAAAAACTGAATGAAAGCCTTGTGTTCACCGCGCCTAAGTCTGGGGCTGTACCCAAGCCTGAATTTTCCAACTGGACTCACCAGTTTGGGCTCATACTGATTTTATTAAGCGAAGTGGTTCCTACATTTTGAGTTCTAAAAATATTCAACATCAATACAGCTTCCCTAGAACTATGACTAATGCCGTAGTGGGGTGGGCGACATGTCGACAAGAATCTATGTATTGTGGCTTGTTCTAGGTGGGATGTAGTAAATGACTATATTACAAACATCAAGTACAAACTGTTGCGTGATTTTTTTAAGCCACCGGCGTGAGACTCACTTTGGCATTTCACTTCTCCTGCTCTTTCCTATGGCTTTCCCCTCTCACAGAGACAAAAAGAAATAAAAATCACATACATACATCACCCTAAGAGACTCCACATACGCCCCAAGGGCCCCGCCTCTCTCTCACGTCAAAGCTGGTGTCAATGTTGACAACTTGGATTAGAGGATGAAATGGTACTATCCTTCTGGTCGCAAAAATAGAAAAAAAGGTACACCGTGAGAATGAAATGCAGAGACAGCAATCAGGTAAACTGTCCTTTCCTCTCCAGGTTTGATGTCAGCAAATAACAGTAACATTAAATTGATGTGCTAGCTCGGCAGTTCATCTCTTGGTCTGTCTGTCTCTTTCTTGCTTGCCAGCAATTTCCAAGGCTGTGTTCTTTGACTTTTTGCCTGACAAAAATAAAAGTGAAATACAACTTTTTTTTAACATTTGATAATGGCCACCAGTGTTTATAAACTGCAGCTTGATACAGATGATTACGTCACACATGAATATGCATCAATATGCGCATACACAAAATGAAACTCCCAACTCTGAAATGACCATTCTAGACAATATATGGAGATAATGGCAAATAATTTAGAACAAGACAACAGTGACAGTCTCTCAGTCAAGGTTTAGTTACAACTCTGTACTAATGCAAGATGGAAAGCAATGGGCTGACACTGACTATTGATTAAACAGTGAATCTAAAATGTTTAAAACCCTTTTAAAAAGGGGGAGGAAAGTAGTGAAAGTACTGGGGTGTCAGGTGTGCCATTTAAAGTGCCATCCACTACAAAACAAAGAATGCCTAAAACTCTGCACATCTACTTCTTGACTCACACAAAACAAAAAGCAGCAAAAGCAACCAGAACCAATATGGCTCCAGTGTTCCGACAGAAACCACTAGTGAATATAAACAAGATTGTTTTAATGCAGAAATATGTTGCAACCATCATACTGGTGTGACTGTACAGCATTGGGTTAAATTGAGCATTTCTGAAGTGCTTTAGAGGATATTTTTAAGATATTGAGAAAAATATTGTGAATCACGACGTAGCCTAAAATACTGTGATATTATTTATAGGCCATATTAACCAGCCCTAAGCTGTAGTATTCATTGCCTCCACCCAGTTACACTACAGTGCAGCACACCCACAGACCAGCCACCCCACACTGAGCTCCTACAGTGTAATAGCCTACATGTGAAGTCTCATGTTTTACCTCAAGACAAAGTGTTTTTCATTAGTGATGTGAAAACACCAGATTCCCGCAGTCAATGAAATCAAAAGTGTGTATCCTAATCATAGCTCAGTAATAACAACCTATCACACTGCTGAGCATCTCTTCAGCACTGTGCTGGCATAGATGGCACAGTGTTGATCGCACTGGAAGGCAGTAGAGGAGGCAGTGCCAGAGTCTGGTCTGGTTCAAGAGTAGTCTAGCGTCAGCTGAGAGCATCACAGGGGAGAGCAGAAATGAGGATGAAAACACAGGGCATGCATCGCACTGTTCCACCTTCCATTTCCATCCCCTTTGAATGCAACTATAGATTTTTTTTTTTTATTACTGACTGGCCAGCCATTTCTTTAATTAATCTATTTAGATTTTGAATACTGAAAGTGGCCATAACAATATCTCAAAGCTCAAGGTAACATCTTCAGATTGTTTGTTTTGACAGAACCTGCAGATATTGAGCTTATTTATCATATAAGAGGAAAAAGCAGCTATTTTTCACATTTGAGAAGCTGTATTAAGAGAATCAAGAAAATAACAATGACTTTGTCAAACAGTGAAAACTCATTAACCTTCTCTTTTTCCATTACAATCACAGTAGGTTTATGATCAGGTAATTTTGTCACAAGACTAGGTTTGTTAAACTTTGTAACCTGCCATGCTGTTACCCTAGTTTGCTTTGTGAATTGACAACAAAGTGTCTGATGCATCAACTAACAATACAAGGGGCAAATCTGCAGATCCCCCTCTGATGATTTTAACAGTCAACTTATAAGGAGCAGCCCTACCAAATCTAAAATTATTTAGGGTGATGTAGTCAGGTAACACCTGGCCTGCTAAGTGTCCTTAAAGGTAGAATGAGAAGGAGATTCCTGAAAAATGATATATAGGTTTGTACTAAAACAATCCCTCTCAATCATCACTTCTGAGATATGAGAATTGTGTGGCGAAGTCTGTATCTGCAGAGACCCTGCCATCTGTCTGTATTTTCTTATTTTGTTTCTAGGCGTCAACCTTTTGGCAGTTGTGTGTAGCTCCCCAACTTTAAATGCAGTGTTTACAAACGGCAACCAACAAATTCTACCAATTCTGCCTTTAAAGGTGCAGTGTGTTGGATTTAGAGGCCCCTTCTGGAAGAAATGGTATATGATACTTATAAGTATGTTTTCATTAGTGCATAATCACTTGAAAATAACCATCGTTTTCTGGGTACCCTAGAATGAGTCAATTCTATCTACATACAGAGCGGGTCGTTTTATACAGAGTCCACCATGTTGTTTCAACAGTAGCTCAGAATGGATAAATCAAACACTGGCTCTATAGGACCATCCATGTTTTCCAAGTTGGCTACCATAGTTCTCTGATACCCTTGGTACATGTGCAAAGTTTCAGTTCAGCTACCTCACTGCTACATGAAACTAAAGCCAACATTAGACTTTTAAAGTAAGGGTCATGCAAAAATTAATGCATGCTCTGAATTTGTCACACAACAGAAAAATGTGTTATCAACTAAGTAGCCAAATTTAAATGATTAAAAAAATTGGTAAGGTCTTACAATTGTGAAAAAAATAGCAAGCTTTCTCTGCTCTGAAAGGCTGAGGGCCTGTATGTTGTAGGCCAGTCTTGCCCCATCCAATATGACGGCAATGTTGAGGTGTCACCACAACAAGTCAAAGTTGTCAATGCAGCCTTCATGTGTGACAAAGTCACAAAGCAGCATTCTGGGTAAGTCATTATTGACTTACAGAAACGCTGCATGCAATAGTCAACCTTCCACCTTTCTCTCTCAAACAAATAGAGCAGCACTTGGTCCTGGTCTCTGTCCTCAGTCATGACATAGTGTTACTATAATGCATAAAGTTGGCGGTTTGCAAACTGGGTCAGGTGCGGGTGGTCAATTAACATATATTTTCAAGTCAGGTTGGTGCAGGTAGTGAAAAACCCTGACCTGTGCATCACTAATTGCTCGGTTGCAAACTGTATGCTGTGATATGTTTTGTATTTCGTGACTGAGGAATAACCATTGATGTTGTGCGCTCTAGTGTTTATATAGTTCAGAGGAGGGACTATGCCAAGGATGGCTCAAGTGCATCATCGGGTCATAATTTCAGGCCCACCAAAAACATGAGCATAAAGTTTATCAGGCTGATTCAGCATTTTAACATGTATAATATGTTTAGAAACAAATCACCGATCACTGATTTTACTTTACCAGACTTTAAGTAAGATACTGAATCAGCTGCAGAGTTAGTTTTTTGACTGAGCCACCAGCAGACCTCTCTAACTTCTAAGCAAAAAAAAGGGGTAATATTGTTTGGATTAGTCATGAATTTTCATAGGAGATCAAGGTGAAAGTAAACTTTGGAGTCGGGATTATAATCAGCTTTTTAGGTGAAAGCAGAATGCAGAGGATCTGAAATACATTTTTTGAAGTTGGTTTTGAAGTCTGAGTGTTATCTGAAGAAGAATCCCTCTTTTTAATTACCACAATATTTAAATAAGCCACTACCTCGCGGGTCCCAATGAAACTGATTTGAGTTATATCTGTGCTGAAATGTGTAATTGCCCATGAAACAATCTCAAACACATGACAGTACTTCTTAAAAAGTAATTCTTTTTTAAGTAAAAAAAAAATAAATAAATAGGCGTATTATTTTGCAGTGAGTCGAGCAGTAAATAGCTATCACACCTTCAGTAATGTAGAAAGAGCTATTACCCTTGCCATGGCTGGCTGGATAGAAAATAAATGTGTGATAAATAATTCATCAAATGTCCAAATGTACATGAACAGAACATATTCCTTCCACACTGTATGCAGATGTACATACCAAACTGATTGGAAGGCAGGCTATCGGGTAAAAAATGAAATCAAGCAGTATCCTATTAATCACTTCTGTGTTGTGACAGGCAATACCTCTCACTGCTTAGCAACCAACTCCTGCAGGGCAACAGTCAGAGAGATGAGATTTACCAATCTTATCTTCTCTCAAAAGTGTCCATTGTGTGGCAGCACATCTCTAACACATATTGTTCTCACACACTGTTCTGCAGCTCCTGTTGTTTTTCAGCCGGTGTCATTAATTATTTAAACAAACATATATGAGGATCAACAGAGCAAAACATCACCCGTCACAGGTGTGAGTGTCAGTCAGTATTCAGCAGCAGCTCACGTTCTTTGCTCTGTGCATTTCCTACATACTAAGAGTTGGACAGTCACACATACATAAACAAAATAATGACGTCTTACCTTGAACAGGCGCAGTATGTTGGCCACCATGATGGAGACAGAGCTGGAGGAGGCTCCAATGACGCCCACCACCCTCTCAGGTTTAGTGATGATTGGCGCCCCCCCGCCGAGACATTTGACATCTGTCCCGTCCTTCTCGATCAGAGCCTGCACGAAGGTGAGCGACTGCTCCAAGGCGTGAGTGTCCCTGGAACAGGTGTCCAGGATGCGCGCCCCCAGAGTGATGTTAGGCAACAAATTATTGTCATTATTGATGCGGTCAAGGGCGAAGAGCATGGCCTCCAGTCTGTGTATACCCTTCTCCTTCTTCAGCTCCCCACATGGCTTGCCATCGTGGCCCCTGGCGTGTACTGGGAAGAGCCCACCTAAGGAGATATCGCCGTCAATGCGGATGGAGTTCAAATGCGTGTGTCCTGGCCCTTTGGGTTTGGCAGCCTGAGCGGCCTTCAGGGAGCTGTAGAGAAGCAGCAGCAGCAGAGGCAGAATCAGGCTGTTTCGTTGACAGCCGGTCCGATCCGGTCTAAACGCTGGAGGTTGAAACATGACCGCGGCCTGAGCACACGTCCACGCTGTACAGCCAAACCCGGCAATCAGAAAACAACAGAAGCCAGGTATTATTTTATGATGGCCAGAGGGTTAATTGCAATACCTCTTGAAGCAGTTGGCACAGAAAAGGCTTCCTCTCATGTCTCTGCTCTCTCCCAGGCATTCAATTAATGTAGAATATGAGCTTGGCTATTTCACAGGATGTAATCCTGTTCGCTTCTCTTTCACTCCCTCACTCCAGCATCTGACCACAGTGGTGGGCAGCTGCTCCTGAGTCTGTTGTTATTCACAGACTTGCCTATGGAGATCCTTCACTTGGGGCATTAGGAAGAACAAAGGTGAACGATAAGCTTTTTTCTCTCCGTCTCTCCCCCCACTCTCTCTCTGTGTCTCTTTCCTCTCCACCTCAATCAGAAGTTTTTAATCTCCCCTGTTCCCCTGGGCAGGGATTTGGTATATGTCAGAGCCCTCAGGCCTGCTTAGGTCCACAGGCTTCAGAGTGAATTCCTGAAAGATGAAAAAGAGAAGAGTAGTGAGACAGTGCACAGAGAAAACAGAAAAAAGGCAAAGGGATTTGTACTGGTATGAGCTTTTCAATACCTCTTTTTTTGCTTAACCTTTTTACTGCAGCATTATGTGGAATGAAGAGACAGTCCTGCTCCCACAAACTCATTTCTTTCTCTTATATAGTCTTCCTACGTCTACCATTTTGAATTCAAAAGGTTTCCATGGACTCTCAAGGTTGACGGTGCTGAGAGTCAGATCCCCACGCTTCATTTTCACCTATCAACCTTAACAGACGTGCTCAGCCTCTATCACAATTGTGTGTCATTTGTCAACAATTATGTTTCCTTTTTCTTTTTCGTCAAAATGATTATACATCAAAATTAAAAAAGTACTGACAGTTATTTGGTTCCACTAACACAAGACCATGCTGTTGGCATTGGCAGTAGTAGTTAAGTTGCTGTTTTATGTTGGTCCTTAGCTGAGAAATCATTATATTCAAGAAAATCCATCACCAGTGCTGCCACATTACTTCTTCAAAGCATGACAAATCATTAGAAACATTACGGATGTAAAGGGAAGTTCAAAAGGACTGAATAAGCTACTGATAAAGCTGATATCTCTTTGTGCCAAATGGACCTCTCCAGAATTACCTGGCTATTTCTGCTTACTACAGGCAAAATCAATTACATATATTATAATGGAATTCATATGTGGGTCTCAGACTCTCTTAAGCATGTCTAAGTGTGTGCCTTGAAGGGTAGAAAAGTACAACAAACCAACGGGGGTATGGTCTAAGGAATGAGTTTGGAACTGTAATTATGCTATTACAGATGGGGAGCAGCTTTTCTATCCAAAGTTGGCAAAAAGAAAAATATCCAGCTTTGAAATCGCTGCAATAAGCAAGCTGACTCCTGATTCTGAGCAGCCATTAACACAGCAGACGATACTGTACATTTTCAAAATGACTGAACGATCATCCAGATCACTGGTGCCTGTAATTTTGCCCATGAAGGGATATGAATATTTTACACTCACTGATCACATATAGAAACAGAGCGTCAATACGTTGAAAATGTGAAGCCTAAAACTTTATTTTTATCTCAGTGATGGCAGTTATACCTCCCTAGAGCTAATGCCTATTTCCATTAATCAATCTGCAGATTTTTCCTTTTTTTTACTAATTCATTAGTTGCTTGGTCTTGACATCAATAAGTAGCTGGGTTTATCCTGGCTCAGAATGAGGCAGAGGTGGTACCATCCTGATCATGAGCACACACATGCAGGTTTACCTCAGCTGGCTTGTGGAAACACCGTTTATAGGTTACGTATTTTATGAGTTCTAATGATTATATGATTGAAAACAAAATACAGTCGTTAATAAACTGCTGCTAAATTGCTACATGGACAGTCAGTTGTGTTTATAATGTGTATTCCTGGATACCTAATGTTCATAAGCAATGTTCTTTGTTTAGTTTTCTGAATGATTTTTTGTTTCGGTGGCAAAGGAGATACCAGCTGAAACACTGTGGCGCACCAGGCTGGCCACCGTTTTGTTACGTATCTTTTATTTGTCTTCAAATGTTGCCTTTCCCGCTGCACTGTGCTAATTACAATACAGCAACACCATATAAGTGTAATGCTGCAATTGCAGTTACAAATGACAGAAATCCACCAAGAGTGACGCTTGTTGGAAATAGTGTTTTCCTTTAGGACACCTGTCAGAGTTTTTTCAAAGGCTGGAGGTGGGATGAAATTTAACGGAGGCACATATAATATTTTTTATGCAGGAAAAACCCAGAAGAGAAAAATTAACCAAATAATATTCCTGAACCCAAGCTATTTAGTTTACTACATTCATTCCTCAGGCTAAAAAAGTGGCTAATCCCCACACAGGGGATGCTGGCATCATCAAATTGACATTAAAAGTGTTGATAGACTATCAAAACAGTTGCTGATTATTTTCCAGGTGACTGACTAACTGATTAATCAACTAATTGTTTCAGCTCTCTACTTAACTACATCTGTTTGTTGTGGCTCTGTTTATTGTTTCACTGCTATGACAGTTATTAGAAGAGATCCTGTACAGGCTCAAGTGCTGTAAACATGCTGGTGAGGTGCATGTTGCAGATTTAAAGCTGGATTTTGATTTTCTAAACTGCATCATGTGCAGATCTACACGCTCTGACAGCATCATTTCCCCCCTTCTCTTTTGTTGCTTCCGCTGACACACACAATACATGCATGCCAGACACAAAATACACCCATACAAGCTATCTTGTATGTACACATCTACGCCCTGTTCATTCCTGAAGCAGAAATAAGCTCTGAAGGAACAATCTCCCTGCACACAGTAACAGAATAGAGCTGTAGACATTGGTTTTCCAGCAGAGTGGGTTGAAGCCTTGGATCAGCAACGGCTGAGATTCATTGAGAGCTTATTGGAAGTGACAAGGTCCTTTGAATACACCCAACTATCTCCTACTGAGTGAGAAGTAATTTTTCAGAGCTGATTCACTGCGGGTTCACTTTAACTGCTGCAGAGCAGATGACAACTGGAAAGCCAGCCAACTCACCTTAGCCCCCGTAACCAAATACAAACCATGCACCAGCATAATCTAACATCAGAGCAGACACTGAGGAGAAGGTAGTGAGCTGCCAACACAGCTCGGTATAGATAGGCAAAAGGAAAAAAAATACAGCTGTAGACATTGAGGAGTTCAAATAAGAAACTGTTCTGCAAGACTGCAGATTTCAAGACAGATGTCATCAAACTTGGTGTTTGTACAAAAGAAGAGCTGGTGGGGAGACAGCTCATACGTCTCCCTCAGACTGAAAAACAGCTAGCCAATCTGGAGGAGTATCTCGAGTGCAACTGGAGGAAAAAAACATCTAACACCTTACAAGATTACATCGAGCATTATCATGTTAATCAGCTTGTTTTGTCTTGTTTCAGATACCTTATAGGGCCTCCTCTTTGGCAAGGATGCAGGTAATTCATTCTTTAATCTTAAAGATCTCAGTGCTTTAGATGAGGGCTGGTTATATCCTCTGAACAAATCATTTCAGAAACTACTATCACTGTGCTGAAACCTATAACTCCCCTTTTAATCACCAAGCACCAGGGTTAAGGTAAGCCACCTTTCAGAGCTCTATTCAACATGACATGTAGTGTTGTAGCAGCTGAATGGAAAGCACAGTATTAGCATACTCAGAGAAATCCGGTTATGTTTTCACTGTATATCTTATTTCCAGAACTCAGCTGTAATATACTGCATGTTACTTAGACTCCATTATGTGGCTTATATTACAATTTCCAAGCCTGACACAATGTAAACTGACCTCAGTTTTGGGTTGCTTTAAAGCCACTGCAACAAACAATGCACACACACACAAAAAAAAGAAGTGACAAGGGCGCTGAATGAGACAACAAAATGTGTGTATGTTTACATATCAGCCTGTAATGGCATACTTCAATAAAAATGTACGACAAGGATTTGAGAAAAACAACAAAAATGCTTACCAGCTAGAAAATGTCAAAGACAGCTGCAGGAATTACTGGAGATTCATATCAGGAGAGCAACCTTTCCCCAGGTGCCAAAGCAAGTTTTAGAGCAGACTACGCATTCATTTCAAAAGGCCATACACTAACCTTCAGGCAAATAAGTGTGTGCTGTTACATGGCCACACGAGCAACAGCTGCAGCTGAGTCTACGGTAACACCTTCATTCTCATGAGGGCAAAAACCTGTCTGTTTTGAAATGGTCTGTGTTTGCTTTCTGCACATTAAAGATGTCCATTTTGGCAAATTTATTACACGAGATTTAAGGTATTGAGTGTTCTCAACTGAAATAAAAATAAACAAAAAAAAGAAGAAGATTTTTAATGTGCACAAGAAGACATGGTGTGGGTGTTGTTTTACATGGTGTCTGGTCTTGCCTCGCCTACACATCTGTCACCTAGGCTAGTTTTTAAGTGTACAGACCATTTTGATATTTAGGCAGGGTTGCAAGGTGAAAAATGTTTGAAGGAGGTCTAAAGACAACTTGTGTTAAATCTTTGGGGAAGATGTGATGTGGAAAGATCTGCAAACATATCGTGGTTTGGGTTGCTAAAAGTAACAATGCTACAGACAGAATCTCTTTTCACCAAGAGATATGCGTCGCTTCCACTCTCCTCAACCCACCTGCCCTTACAAATGCACTTCACCTGAAAAAGAAACTTCAGAAGTGTTCTCTTTGAAGATAAAGAATGTGATGTGAAGACCAGCCCCTGCACCTTGAAACTCCCTCATGTTTTTTCAGTGCTTCACATTAAAAAGATTCACAGCTCTGGCCCAAGCATTTTACAGTCCAATCAGTACTGCAAAAGTAACCATTATAAATACAAACAAGGGTACATCTGAAATTAATGTATATTTATTTCCAGCAGATTATTCCTCTCTTCATCTTCTGAGACCTGAGCAGCTGCTGGATGGCGAAGCCAGCCAGGGAAACTTTTAGAGATGTGCTTTAGCTCTCCTCTCACAGATGGGCAGGAGGGGCTCTCTAATTGACACTCCAGCATGTTGATGCTGCACAGCAGATCAATAGGAAGGTAGAGGAAGGCTGCCCTGAGGAAAACGAATGGAGAGAGAGAAGGGCTAGGATGCACACAAGGACTGGAGAGCTTAGAAGAGGCTGACACTGTTTCTATCGGAAAAAAAAAATGATTGAAATGAGCCTTGAAAGGATGCATCGATAAGAATGGATCAAACTGGTAATGCTGCTCTTTGTTCATATCTGTAAGTGGTCCAGGGGTCATACCTTATTTTTTGAGCAGCAAAACCAGAAAACTGCAATGCAATTAGTGCAACACACTCAACTGAGCTTGCCATCTGCCACTGATCTGCTTTTTCAGCACATCAACCCAGTTATTCCCAGCCTGAAATATGTTGACACTTTTCTAAAAGGAAACATTCAATGTTTAGTTTCAACAGCAATTTTACTGTACTGTTGCTGAAA